CGTTCCGTAGTGAGTGGCGGCCGTGCCCGGGGCTGGGGGGGACCCTGCGAGGCGCCGAGGGGTCGGGCAGCCCTGCCCTCCCCTGTCGGGACAGGCCAGCCGCTGGGGAGCCGGGCTTTCCGTAGGTTTGTTCTGTCACCCGTTTGGGGACAAAGTTTGGGAATAAAGGGGGGGTTTTCCCGCCTGATCCCGGAAGGGACGGAGAGCTGCGAGGGAAAATGCGACCGACTGCTCCGAGGAGTCCCGTTCTGCGCCTGCCGCGGCTCCAGCTCAGCTCCTTCTTGTGATGCTTTCAGAGGACGGGGCAGCCGGCGGGCTGGATGCTCTGCGGGGCTGCAGCCGTCAGGAGGGAGTCTCTGCGCTGTCTCCGCAGATTAACTTCGACTCAAACCACAGACGTCTGATTCTCCAGGTCCTGAGGGATGCGAAAAACTTAGTGCTTCGTGTTGCAGTCCCCATCTGAGCACTGGTGTCACCCGGAGAAGCAGCCTGAAGAACCGAGCTGATGTCTGTCAAGGTGCTTTCACGGTGCTTTACATCGACTTTGTGAGACTGCTGTGTTAGCCTCCCTTCCTGCAAGGAGTCTCCCAGTAGCATCTTTCATTTCTGCTACAAGCTGATACCAGCTATTCATATAAAAACGATGGTCTGAGAGAGGGAGGGCATTGTAGAACCAGCATTTAATGTAGTAGGGTTTGGCAGGTTGTACCTAATCGGGTCTTCTTGCACAGGTGACAAGACTGACCAGGTTTTCTCTGTTTTGCAGGGTAAAGCAAACCCTGCAGAGACTTGCTAGAGAGACCACCTCCCATTTCACATCTCCCTAAGTGGACTATGGTGGCAGGAAGATGTTGGCTCGCAAGAGTATCATCCCTGAAGAGTATGTGCTGGCACGTATCGCTGCTGAGAACCTGCGCAAGCCGCGCATCCGTGACCGCCCGCGCAAAGCCCGCTTCATTGCCAAGAATGGCGCCTGCAACCTGGCTCACAAGAACATCCGTGAGCAGGGGCGATTCCTGCAAGACATCTTCACCACCCTGGTGGACCTGAAATGGCGTCACACACTGGTCATCTTTACCATGTCCTTCCTGTGCAGCTGGCTGCTCTTTGCCATGATGTGGTGGCTGGTGGCCTTTGCCCATGGCGACATGGACCCGAGCACAGAAAACCCTTCAAACAGCACGAAGTGGACGCCGTGTGTGACGTGTGTCAGGTAAAGTTGACTTTGGTGGGATGAAGGAAGTGGGGGCTATCCTGGTGTTGTCTGAAGTGCAGCTTTTAGTGTACATGAACCATTGGGTTTGGCTGAGACAGTTGAAAAGTGCAGTGTTTTCCTTTAGACTGCATAAACTCAGCAAGCCTCCCAGGCTTGGAAAATACTGTACTGTAGATGTCTTTGATTCCTTACAGGATCTGAAAGAGAGGGAGACCTGCTGCTTTTCATGTGTCTCCACACTCTGTGGGTAACTCGATTGCCTGTCGAGATAAGAGCCTGCTGCAAGAGTGGGTATGTGTTGTATGTATTGTAACATTGTCTACGGCAGCGGGAGCATTCCCAGCGCCATGTTGGCCAGAGGTGCTCCCTCCAGAGCAGTGCCTGAGAGGCAGGGAACCAGCCCTGGGTGTCAGGCAGGGCACCAGCCAGAGGTGCCAGGAAATGTGTCACTTAGGACAAAACTAAGTGTGTTTCAAGACGACTTTCATGAGTGTTAAATATGCAGGACTTCAAAATGCCTTGGCGAAGCCATAGGCCAGCAGTTGGGCAGAGGAACGCTTTCCATACTGTGCATTTGTGTCAGACAGTGAAAGCTTAAGGGATGACTGGATTAAATGCCACCTGTTGAAGTATTTTACTCTCTGTACCCAAAGCCACAACAATTGTCAGGGCACTGATAAGCTGACATATACATGGAAGAGAAGACTCTGAATTGCAGGTGGGATAAGCCATAAGATCGCTTCAGGATCTCACCAATTAAATCTGCTTTTTTAGCACTAGGTTTTTAGGTGGAAAAGTCCTGGTTCTGTACCACCAGGCTGCCCAGATCATCTGCCTTTACACATTGCGGTGCTGTGAGGGTCTGGGGGTTGTGGGGTGCTCTGAGAATCAGTGAATCCACTTCCCTTTTTACTTTTCTCCCACAAAATTTTGAGGTACCCCACCAAGTCTGAAGGGACTTTGTATCTGACTCACAAAGTAGTAAAGATTTAATTCTCCCTTTGTTTTGACACTTTTTTTTTGCTAAATGGGGATTTTCCAACGTAAAAGAAGAGGGAATTTTTCCAAGCTACCCTTCACTAGGTTGAGGAGAATTGGAGCTGTCTTATTTCTTTTCCAATGTCTGGCCATAAGCAGTTTTGTCTGAAATGAGATGCCATGACCCAGCTTGCACCTACAGGATTGTTACCCCCAGCATTTCCTGGATTTGTGGGATCTGTCCAGCTGGAATTAGTGAACAGCTATAACCCTGCAGCTCTCCAGGGTCAGCTGAGGCAACATCCCTGCACGTGGCTGGTGGCTCATTCGGTGTGGCTGCTGTATCATCCCACAGATCCTGAGCTGGAGGCCAATGGCTTCATGCCACTGGGGCCAGGCACATCCACAGCCAGGACTCTGCCCCTGTTCTCTCCCCATAGCTGCCTGTGGCTCTTCCAGGATGTCTGCTAGGAAGCACAATGAATGAATCAACATAATTTCAAGTTTAGCTCATGCCAAAGAACACACCCCCTATCCTTATGGGGTGTCCACGTGGAGTCTCTCCATAGCTGCTCCAGTGCCCATGTCCAAGCCATGGGAAATCTTTTCCTTTCCTAGGGAAATCTGGCTACCACTTTAGTCAAAGTCATGAAGTAACAATGTGATTGTTGACATCTTTAAGAATGGCAATTTTTTGGGTGTAAAATATCTTTAATATTGCAATGCCAAAATCATGATAAATAATTTTTAACCTACTCCCCTGAGGTTTAGGCCCACAGATATTTCAGAAGAGCTTTCTTGGGTAGGTGCCATTACATATTTACAGGAAAACCTGGCTTTGGAAATTTTAGCAAGTGCCTGGAGCTTGCACAGTCCTTTCATTTTACAAAGTACTGCAGAAATTTCTAAGCCTCATATCTCTTTGCAACAGAAAGCAAACATCCAAATATGAAAGCTGCTACACAGCTCTGGGGGAAGAACCTGGGAACAGTGTGATTTGCATTTTCACCCATTTCACATGGTTAAAATGCTTTCCAAACTTATTCTTTCACTTCCACTGTTAAAAAGGTGGATTGGCTTTATGAGTTTTTTTGTTTTGTTTTGTTGTTGTTACTGATTTTTTTGTTTTTTTTTTTAAAACAAACAAACAAACAAACAAAAACAAAACCCACAAAAAAACCCCCAAAAAACAACAACAACAACAAAAAAAAAAACCCAGAATGGGTACTGCTAAAGGAAGTCAGACTACTTACTGGACAGAGTTTTAAGCTGAATTAAGCTGACTGAAATTGAATCCAGAAGCTTCGTTCTGCTTGTAACTGAATATTCATGATTATAAGAAGTCATTCAATGGATTCTATTAATTAACTCCTTTGTCCCTGGTTTCTTCAGAGTGAAATACAAAATAAACCCCCTCAATACAAAGGAATTTGTTAATGATTAAGAAAAATAGAAAAGGCAAAAAAATAAAGTTATTTCAAAGATACCTCTGCAGAGACTGGTTGGTTTTCTGAAAGATGGACTTTCTCATTGCACAGAAAATTATCCTTGATATTGATAATGCTATTTAAATGTGTCCTTGATATCCCAGTAAAAATATGTCTAGAAAAGAAAAAAAAATGTTTAAAAGCGGATTAATTGAAAAGCAAAGTAATCTCAACAAATTATTTAGACCGTCTTCATGGGCAGGATATATTTTCCACTGTCTAGCCCTGTTAAGCATTCTGATGCTTCAGATTTATTGAATTGCACTGGAAGGATGTATCTGGAAAGAATAAAAGAATAAATAAATATAAAAGGAAGTTAAGGACCTCGATATATACAGGGGATATGACTTTGTGGCTGCTATAAATAATGTATTTTGGGAAGTTTGTGGGGAGCATTTTCTGTCCAGCACCATAGCATTTTAGGGTATTTAACTTAACCCACACTTCTACATCCAACTTTGACGTTGAAATTTTCCAGCTGGTCTTGCCCTGGCAGTGAGCTGAACCCAAACCCTGGGTCACAGCACTGTCCTGCTGCCAGGGTGTGTCACTGACCTCTCTCTGCAAGCTCATCCTGCTCAGTCACAAGGTGAGCAAGGGTTTGGGAAGTGTCACAAACCTGAGAAAGCCCCTTTTCCCCTACCAGGAAATACTGGGTTATAATTCAGGTAGCATGAGTGAAGTACTGAAGTTTTCCGTTTCCCTTCCTTGCACAGGCTGGATCTCAGTGTGCCAGCTGATTGCCCATGCTTGCCAAAACCACTTCTCTCCACCAAGGGCTTCATGGGATGGAGAAGGTGGAAAGCCCAGTTGTTCCAGAGCTGTTCACTAAGCCAGTAGGAAGCCTGTGCTCCTGGACAGAGATTCCCTGAGCTGCTCAGGGTCACCCAGATGGTCTTTGAGGAGCTCACGCTCTGAGGTCTTCCCTGCTACCAATAGACACTACACCAACCACACAAATCTGAGCCATCAAGCATGCAATACTTTGGCTGGTGTTAACAAAAGGCCTGTGTGTACTAGAGCCATACAAACAGGTCCTTAAGTTTGTTTCTGGAAGCACATGTTAACAGCTTATCATTATTATCTTATTATGTGTGTGCTCTGTGTCGTGAGAGTTAACTGGGTGAAATCTTCCCCTACAGGTCTTTCACCTCCGCTTTCCTCTTCTCCATTGAAGTCCAGGTGACCATTGGCTTTGGGGGCAGGATGATGACTGAGGAATGTCCCCTAGCTATTACGGTCCTGATCCTGCAGAATATTGTGGGGCTGATCATCAATGCTGTCATGCTGGGCTGCATATTCATGAAGACAGCACAAGCTCACCGGCGGGCTGAGACACTGATCTTCAGCCGGCAGGCGGTCATTGCTGTCCGCAACGGCAAGCTCTGCTTCATGTTCCGGGTGGGGGACCTGAGGAAGAGCATGATCATCAGCGCCTCAGTGAGAATCCAGGTCGTGAGAAAGACCACAACCCCTGAAGGAGAAGTCATACCCATTCACCAAGTGGATATCCCCGTGGATAACCCCATTGAAAGCAACAACATTTTCCTGGTGGCTCCCTTGATCATTTGTCATGTCATAGACAAGCAGAGTCCTCTTTATGATATCTCTGCTTCTGACCTGGCACTCCAGGACCTGGAGCTCATTGTGATACTGGAAGGGGTGGTAGAAACCACCGGTATCACGACACAGGCGAGAACCTCCTACGTGGCAGAGGAGATCCTGTGGGGTCACCGCTTCGTGCCCATTGTCACTGAGGAGGAAGGTGTGTACTCTGTTGACTACTCCAAGTTTGGCAACACTGTCAAAGTGGCTGCGCCGCGCTGCAGTGCCCGGGAGCTTGATGAGAAGCCCTCCATCCTCATCCAGACCCTGCAGAAGAGTGAGCTGTCCCACCAAAACTCCCTGAGGAAGCGCAACTCCATGAGGAGAAACAACTCCATTCGGAGGAGCAACTCCATGCGGAGAACCAACTCCTCGCTCATTGTGCCCAAAGTGCAGTTTATCACGCCGGAGGGGAGTCAGAGTGCCTCAGAAACGTGATGCACAGCTTTGTACCAAGGCACTGGGCTTCAGAAGGAGGAGGCATCTGTGGTATTTTGCTTCAATTTCCTTTTACTTCAGAAACCGAGAACACGATGCAAAAGGGAACCGTGCAAGAACTATTTATTCTATTACTTACTGAAAGCACCACCTAACGGCATTAGAAAACACCTTAGCACTTAGGATATGAATTAATAAAAAATGACACGTACACTAAAGAAAACACACTTCACTCATGTAATATAATGTGTATTTTTACTTGTTTTAATGGCATGCTGATTTTTTTAATCATATTTTTCCTTTCAAGGGTCTCTTTCTTCTGCTCGCTGTCACAAAATGTGGGGCTTTCCTATATGAGTGCTTCATAAAACTTCTGTATTAAACAGCTCCCACAGATTTTGTGCATGACATTTGGATATTGATCTTTTTGTGTGAATTCCTTGTTCTCTTAAAGGGAGTAACTAAATTCCTCAAGGATTTCACTGGAGAAAAGCCTCCATTTCACCTTCGGTTTCCCAGGCTTTTTCTTTTTTGTTGGTTTGTGGCAAAGGCCTTTTGAGTGCAAATTCAGGTCGGGTGGAGTGACCTGTTCATCCCACAGGAAAGCTGGTGTCACTCCAGGCAGGAAAACCAGCAAAATGATGGAGTGCTTCTCTTCTCAGTGTGAGATACATGGCTTCAGGATGAAACACATCTTATATTAGCTGTAGCCCAAGCTGAGAAATCCCAGTCCTCCTGGCTGCCACCTGTCTGTTTCACTGAAATTATTCAAACTGGAAAAAACAGATGCCTCTTTAACATTCTCTTCATGATGGAAGACCAAATCCTGTTTTGCTTTCTCTGATAGATTCATACATAGAAGGAAACACATGTAGTTGCTTCATTTACTTTTCATAGTATTAAGTCTGCTTCATCCAGAAGAAGGTTATTTTTTTGCCAGTGGGAACACATGACTGGGAATGAGAGGGAAGCCTGCCAATAATATTACACAGTATTTTTAAAACTGTCTGAATGCTTTTTAGGGGGACTTGGGTGCTGCTGCTGAATTCCCACTTTTTATCAGTGCCTCACCTGCGTTTTTATGTAAACTGGCATTGAGAATTGGTAGGAAGAAGCTTTCCTCTTCAAATTAAAATGGGCATTTGGCCTGAAGCCTTCCCAAAAATGTCTTCACAAGTTTTTCTACAGGACTACGGAAAAGTAAGACAACTAATTCTGTCATTTGGTAGCCTAAATTGATATATGGTTTCTTTCCTATGTGAATAAGTATAATTATGGACAAGTTTCTCTTCAAATTTCTTGCAGAAATTGTCTTATGTCTCTAGCTCGAGAGAAGTACTATCCTTGTTCTGACCCTCTGTAGTGGTTCAGATTTGCCAATTTCATTTCCCAGCCAACACACCAAATAAATGTTGTGGTTTTAAAGCAGTAGCTAAAAAATCACTAGAAAACTTACTTATTTCTTGCTGTGAGATATGGATTAGAACAAGAGCAAAACAGGCTTAAAACTTAAAAGGAACAAAGAAAGTTTATTAACAAAAATTACAAGAATAAGAAACTAGAATAAAACTTCCAGAATAACCCCTTTCTCCCCCACTGCCCAACCATTCCCTTGATAACATGACGACATAGAGACAAAAAAACTTCGGTGGTTAAAACAGTCTCAATTCTTGCTATAATCCTTTCATCAGTCTTTGTAGAGAAAAAGAAGTCTTCTTCTGCAAATTCATGGAATTTTTTTCAAGAAAACGATTTCCTTTATAGCTTTCTATTTTTCTGATGCCAGTTGCGTGGAAATTCTGCCATCAGTTCACTCTTCCCATTTCACTTCACTCTGAGGTGTGTTATGGGTCAAATGAGTCTAGGGATGCCATTTTTAAGGATGAGTTATTCAAAGGCAAAAGTTCTCTTCATCTGTTTTTGTGAGCCCCTCTGGAAACAGAAGTTTTCTCTTTGCCTCTCAAAGGCCACAAATCTTCAACTATTACTTCTCCCCCTCTGTTCCAGCATCTCACAATATCACAACCACTTTACCATTTGCTCAAAAACCACACTTTAAAAGACTCCATTCCTCCCAATATACTCTGTCACAAATTAAAGGAGTTTTTTTCAGAACACTACTGTCCATCTCCATAGCTTGAACAGAAAAATATTTCAGCTTATTAAAGCACCTCCTTATTTCTCTTCCCCCTCTAAATTTAATTCTTTTCTTCACTGTCTTTGATGGGTTTATGGTGTCTCCTTATATGTTGATCACTCCCTCTCTTCCTCTCTCTCTGGGAAAAAAAAGGATTAATCTGCAAGTCTCATCCAGGTAGTAAATGAGTTGAAGTCTTGCTCAAGCTGCAGATGTTCATGGTGTCAGGTTTCAGTTCAGCGGCAGAAACTGCAAACCGAGTCAGGAACCGGACGGCTCTGTTTCTTCCCCCCCGCCCTCTGTGGCTTTGTCCGGCCTGCGGGCGGTGGGGAAGGAGAGTGAGCCGGAGCCTGTTACCAAACCAAACCAGAAACCAAAGAGAATAAGAAATTCCTGGACTAACATCTTAAAGTAGGTGTTCACAGGTTGATCTCACTTTTCAATGGTCAAAATCACTGCCAGTTCTAAGAAATGGCTAGTTATTGGTCAAGAGAAAAACTCCCATCAGCCTCCAGCAGTTTCAACTTCCCTAGCCCCAAAGCTAATCTTAAAGGTGCAGAACTTAATATATATATATAAAGCAGGAGATTGGTGTTGAAAGACCCCCGAGCTGTTCACCAGTCTTCACAGAAGTAATTGTGAATGCCGTTTATTTCTATTATTAACACACCTTTTATAGGGTCTACAGGGTTTGCGGGCAGAGCAAGCTACTATTGGCTAGTACACACAAGTTTACATTCTTATCCTTGTACACAAGGATATTGTTTTGCTTTACTCTCTCTTCTGCAGGCAAGTTTCAAGGATTTTAGCCCTTAATATCATGACTTATTCCAAAGGCTGGTTTGTGCATACCGGCCTTTACTAATATATAAAATATAGCAACAATTCCCCCTTTCTCTTTTTGCACAAACCAGGCTTTGGATAAGATAACACACAACTTAGGCTGTCATCCCAATTAACACTATAAGTAAAGTCCGTCCCCCTTCTAGCACAAGAGACGTCAACCATCCAGTGATGCCCCAGCTGGCGAACCAGCTTCCAGTGGGGTCACTATCTTCCTCCAGGGCATGTAACTCATCCTGTAGCTGTTGCAGTTGCTTATGGATGGAAGCTGAATGATCAGTAAGATCCAAGCAGCACATGCCTTCAAACTCCTCACAACCATGTCCCTGTGCCAAGAGCAAAAGGTCCATTGCAGCTCTATTTCATAATACTGCATGATGTACACTACTCACATTGGCTGAAAGCTCACTTAACATTGTGGATGTTAAGTTCAATCCTTCCTTAGTCCAGCAAGCGAGCCTTTTTAGGGTGGCTAAACTTTCATTCATTCAGGCTTTGCTTTGACTGTTTGATGTTCTTCATTTTGCTAGCTATATTCAACAATTGGTGTTAGCTTGGGTGGAACAAGGTTATGTTTCCCAAGATAACAGGGTCTTCTATGTGGACTAGCAGGAATCCCATTCCATGCCCTATCCCCACAGATTAGGAACATGGAACTAGGTAATCGCTTTGGTAATTGTCCTGTGAGACTGCACCACAAACAAAGGCTTTACTTTCAGTGGTAGTAACGAGATCAGCTATAGGGTTGACTGCAGCTCAGGGCTACATTACTTTGTTAGAATGACTTTTTGTCAGGGGTTCAAACATTATCCATCCACCTGAGGTATTGGTGGAACTTAACAAATCTAATTCTTCTGAGGGTTGTAACATTGAGAACTTTGGTAATTTTTTGCTTGCCAACAGGCTTCAGGTTGTCTCAATGTGAAGCCAACAGTGCAATTGCACTCTTGCAACATTGCCAATCAATTCAGTCGAGTCTCATTACTAATTAAATCTTTAAATGCTGGAGGATCCCATTCAGGGACTCCTACGAGACAGGTGCGAAAGGATCTCCAGGTGTGGCTAGGCTTAGACACATTGACTTTTGGCCAGTTCAATGTGCCAGAGTGACCCACATGTTCTGCCTCTTTTGGATGTTAGTTAGCAGACAGTTGGTTGGGACTATACACAACACAATTACCATAAGCAGTTTGTTCCATGCAAATGACACCATATTTG